TTTTTTACAGAGAGGAAGGGAGAGGGATAGAGAGCTAGAAACATCGAGGAGAGAGAAGCATCGATCAGCTGCCTCCTGCACACCCCCTACTGGGAATGTGCCTGCAACCAAGGTACATGCCCTTGACCGGAATCGAACCTGGGACCCTTCAGTCCCCAGGCCGACGCTCTATCCAGTGAGCCAAACCGGCTAGGGCAATCATTGAGTTTTTATCTCTGAGATTTTATTATTCTACAGGATTCAAGAAGACCTCAGTTTGTAAATTAAGTTGTCGTTGTCCGTTATTTTTCCGAAGCATTTATTTACAAAATAGCATGGTCAAAAAGAATCAGCTTGTCTGAAAGAGCATATATCCTTATAAGGACAAAGTTCATTTACCTCATCGCGCAGGTGCTGTATCAGCTCACACAGAAATCCCAAACAAATTGCGCTGAGCAGTTCTTCAGGCTGTAGCTACATCAGTGGAAAATTCGCTCAGTTGGGCCTAACTCTTCCGCCCCAAGATAAGTCAGAAATGCCAGCATTGCCATATGCTCACCTTCAAAATGTCCTCAGGAAATTGAAGAAAATAGGGAGCTGCAGCATTGCTTAACCTCTATGGATGGCTATATCAATCTAGCCACATAACCTGCTCTATGTCGGCACAGCTTATAAAATAAACGTATGTAATAGCAAAGAAAGGACTAGCTGTTTAATTAGGGGAAAATTGCAGCTGACAGAAGACATTTGAATCAGTGTTCAAAACATGTTCTCTGAGCACCTGCCTTCTTTCTGACCTGCTAACCATTTGGAGATGATTTACCTCAAGTGAATCAAGTCTGCACATAATTCAATAATTTCAGACAATAAAATAGCTTGAAGTTACCTTTGTGCCTAAATAAAGTATTTATTTACCAGTATTTGAATACTACCTTTCCAATGGTTAAGGCAGTCAGAATAATAATATTACTTTTTAAATATTACAAATAATAGCAAGATTAAGATATGTTGTGAATAAGTGTCCAGGAACATTAAATCCAATATTTTAATCAAGTGACACTTTTCTAAGGGATCTTGGGTGGTTCTTTAGGTAAGCCTATTCTCAAGCACTTTTTTTTTTGTTTGATAAATAAATTTTATATTCAAGAGACCATTTAGAATACATAATGCTTTCAGTTTCAGAACTTCATATATATAAGCATACAGAAGAACATATTTCAAATTATGTTTTGAAAGTCTTGGGTTGGTATAAGTAATATTTAGTTTTCCACTATCACAGAGTCATTTGGCTCAACCACTAAATATTCAATAAAGAGACACCATGAACTTGTGAGGATTGGGGAAGGGGTAGATCGGGAAGGTGATCAAACTGAGTATAGTTATCTTACTATGACTGAAACCTTTTTTTGGTTTTTGTTTAATGATAGTATTTCAGTTATCTATTGGTGTGTAATAAGCGAGTCCAAAACTTAAGCACTCAAATAACAATAGTTTTACTCCTTTTCATGATTCTTTGAGGGAGCAATTATGGGAGGGCTTGGACAGGCAGTTGTGCTCTATGTAGTGTCAGTTGGCATCATGAACATGGTTGCCTTTAGCTAGAGGCTGGCTGGCCTGGAAAATCTAAGAAATCTTCTTTACCATGTCTGGCAGCTCAATGCTCTTCTTCCATGTGGCTTTCCTCTTTTCTCTTCATTCAGTTGTTTAGCCAGAACTTCACATCATGGCGACTGGCTTTCCTAGAGCCAAAGTGGAGGCTGCCAAGCCTCTGAAAAGCTAGACCTGGAACCAGCTCAATGTCACTTCCACTGGTTTCCATTTGTCAAAGCAAATGATAAGGCTAGCCAGCCCACATGCAGGGCAGGAGTGGTGGCTGAGTTGACTTAAAGGGTAGAGCAGCATACACATATTGGAAGGGAAGGAATTGATAGCAGTCATCTTTGGGGACTACCCACTAAAAATAGTCAATTTAATTAAGGCTAAAATAATTATATGTCCCTCATTAAAACACACACACACACACACTGATCTAATTTTTCCACTACTTTTAATTTGTTCTATTTGAAAAAAAATAAATCTATATAAGGAATCAGAAGTCTTATAGCATACATTGTAATGAGTAGGATCATAGTAGTAAGCAAGGATCTGTCTTCAAGAATGGTTTTGCTATCTATATGCAAACAAAGAAGGAATAAATAGAAAATATGAAGAATATGCTCCCTTCTTTTAAGCATCAGTTTAATGTGCTTAAAATCAGTTTAAGAAAGAGCAATAATAAGCTATGTCTTGTCATGAGATCATGTGGTATAGACCGATGTGACTAATGCTCAAGGAAAGGCATATTAATGAGAAAGAATAATCGTTAAAACATTCCTGGGAAAATGGGACTTAATATTTTTAAATAATAAAAGGAGAGGACAGAACAATATAGGTAAGGAAATATGAACAAATATAGAGGTAAAAATAAGTATTGCATATGTTTGTACAGTAGTGAGAAGACCAAAGTCTCCAAAGAGGAAGTCTGTAAATTTGGATAGAGAGAAGTTATCTTAAAAGACTTTGTAATTTGAGAGAAATTATGTAAAAGGAGGGTAAGTTAAAGTTATCTCTCTGTCCAGTAGAGTGGTCACAAGTGGCTATTTAAGTTTACATTAATATTAAATAAAATTAAAATGAAGCTCCTCCATAGCATTAGTTACATGTCAAATGCTCAATAGCCCCATATGGCTAGTGGCTACCCCATTGGATAGTACATATTACAGAATATTTCCTTCACACGCTAGAGGTTTATTAGACAGTACTGACAATCTATTCTACTTCCCAATATTTCTGAAATCTATTCACCTTTCACTTCCCCTCTGCCACTCCCCTTAGTTCAGTTTACTTATGTGTTTCACTTGGGTTATGCAACACTCCCCTACCTGTCTCCCTGTTTCCAGTCATGCTTTTCTCCAATCTGCTCCCCATTCTGCAGCTAGAATGC